AACGACAGTTTGTACTGGTGTTTGAGAACATGGCACTGAAGAGAATATTTGTACCCATGAAAGCGAAGTAGTGAGGGCATGGAGCCCCTGTCTTATTTGGACTCCTCAGCTCATTAAAGAGAATAGTGTCAGACGGGCATGTATAATGTACTGGGAGATGAGAACCTCCGCAGCAGATATAATGCTTGACTCATTCCGTCATGACTCGATCCTCAGAACCTTCTTTGTAAAACCGTGGGGTACCATACGAAGATGCGGTAGACACTGAGGAAGGATGCAGTATGTACTAATCAGCATACTGCTTGTAACGTGTGGCTCAGATGGGAGGAAGGAGACATACACGTACATACTAAGGTTTTGTGGTGTAGGGCATCCTTTTTGGGAAACTTATCGAGTGAAACGCAGACGACATGAGAGAGTGAAGGGTGTAGTATAACGGGGCGTATCTGCCCCTCGTTCAGGACGTTATGATTCGTGTTTCGGCTGATGTCTGCTCAGCAATATTATGAACTTCCTCAGTTCGTAGATTAGGAACTATTCACAATTTATAATTATCCTCTCATGTTTAAATTTATACGTCTATAGGGTACGTAGCCGTTCACGGTAGCCGAGCGGTCTAAGGTATGTACTGTCTTCTCTCGCTTGGAAACCAGGATCGTGGGTTCGAATCCCACTCAGGGCATGGATGTTTAGTTTGTGTGTGTGCGTTTTTCTGTGTTTGTATACAGGTAGAGGCCTTGCGACGAGCTGATTACCCGCCCAAGGAGTGCTACCGAATGTGTAAGATCTAGAAAAACCGAAGTGAACGGAGAAGTTCATGGAGGTAGGCGTAGGCCCACTGGGGCTGTAGTGCCAAAGAAAAAAAAAGGTACATAACTTAGTAATTGATACGGCGTTACAATATTACGTAAAATAAATGGAACGTAATATTTTGATACACCTTAAATATAGATATATTTACGAAAATCGGATTTCGTCAATTTTCTAGAAAGCGGTTCAGCGTACAAAATAGTATTGACAGACTACACGGTAAAGTGAACTTCTCTCAGTCGCTCCTGGAGCTAAGCCCTTCTTGAGAAGCTGCCAGTTGTGCAGCTACTCAAGAACTTCCCAGCATTTTATGAAACCCGAAGGTTCATTACCATGCTCACAAAAGCCCTCCATTGATCCATATTGAGCCAGATCAATTCTATCCATACAATCCCACCCTATCGCTCTAAGATCTATTTTAATATTGTCCATCTACCTACGTCTTGGTCTTCCTAGTAGTCTCTTTCCTTCTGGTTTTTGAAATGAACTTCTCTACGAAACAGTTTTCGATATGCTGTATAGGCCTACGTAACTGATGTATTGTAATGCTGCATCTTGTGCAGTACAGCGAGCTTTGCAACAGTCAGATGTGAATCTGCAATACATGAACATGAACACGAATGGGAAATGCAAAATTGCAATAGATTCTTTAGTAAAATAGTTAAATCGCAATATCCCAAACTGTCCAATGTTTTGTTCTTGTATGGATTGGACTGATCTGGATTTTGATAGTGTTCACATGCGGGAAACTTACGTAATGGCGGAGGACTTGTTCTGGCCCAAATTTACCAATTTTAAATTAATTAAAGTCTAAGGTGTGGATTTTAAATTGCTTAAATATGTATCTCAGTACACAGGAAAACTCCTTAAAAAAGCACCGCGTTTAAGAAAGCCGCTGAAGGTGAAGTTAAGGCTTTGTGGGTGAGTGAGAGTAGGGGAATGCGATTGCTGCTTGCGCTCACCACTGCCTCGGTTACCAGCTTCTTCACTAAACAAAAAAAAAGAAATAAATAAAATAAGCAATAATATTAGCCATAAAATAACGCGGATAAATGAAACCAAACGCCGCTGTTGGCGAAACTTGATAAAAATGGAGAACCTCTGGCACGTGAATTCCACAACTGACGAGGAATTGCTGCACTAAATAAAATGCAAAGCTATCCCTGTAACAGGCAGTGGAGGCCCATAGAGTTGTGAGACGTCGAGGCTCCCACTTTTTCTCCAGACAATCGGCTCACAGATGGC